GAGGTTGCAGTGAGCCGAGATTGCGCCACTGCACTCCAGCCTGGGCAACGAAAGTGAAACTCCGTCTCAAAAATAAATAAAATAAAATAAAATAAACAAGAAAAAAAAGAAATTTAAGATTAGGAAGGAAAAAAATAAATTCATAAATTCAATCTTACAGAACACCTAACGATTCGCCTGAGAATCACAGAAATGTACATTCACATTGTTTCTAATACAAAATATTGAAAATTGCAAAATATAGTGTTATGTTTTACTATAGTTTACTCTCTGACATCGTAGACTGCGTATGCACTAATTCTTCCTGGATACGAGAAGTCACAGAAAACCTACTGGTGGAATACTTGCCATTTTTCATGCTTTTTGTCAGTTTCCTTTTTAAGTGCATACTGAGGTTTATCTTCAAAACATTCTCATCTTTTCGGCTTACAGTGAGACTTTTTTTTTTTTCCTAACCAAAATGTGTCTGCCTTTCATTAAGATAACATAAAAGAGCAGCCTAATTCTTTGGTCCCTGAATATGCACACACATGCATGCACATACACGCACACATGCACACACACACGCAGACACACACAACACATGAAGGCTTTCTGAAACTGCTTAATCAAATTACTGCTCAAACCACTCCCTGGCACTTCCTCGCAAAACAACCAACCTAATACTGAGTTTTCAGTTTTGCACTGCAAGCAGTTTGAAACAGAATAACATTCTTTCCTGGTCACCACTTATAAATTCGGAAGGAGATAATTCTCTGATCTCTTAGGCCTGTGCAAGTCTGAGTGTGCTACAATCGCTGTAGGTTAGAGCTCTGCCTTTGTTTAAAAACTGCATTTTATATACTAGTTATTTCATTGTGAAAGATAATCACCCTAACAAACAAGATTTTGCTATTTTTCTGCACAAATGTCACTTCACTATTTAGAGCTTCATGTAAATGTGTCTTACAGAAAATAAACTGCTAATACGATTTCTTAATTATCCTCGGAAAAAAAAAATGTTTTAGTGGTGTCATAATGCCAGCACTAATTTTAGCCAAAATACGAACAAATGCATTCTACAAATTCAGGAGATTATGATTTTTAAAAAGCAGTAGTATGGATGTACATAATGTCAGTGAATTATACACTTCCAAATGGTTAAATGGTAAACGTTTATGTATTGTATGGCAAATGTTATGTGTATTTTGGCATAATACTGTTTCCTCACAATAATACTAACAAGTTTTTTAAAAAGCAATGGCACGTTCTCATTTCATAATATATATTTATGGATGTCAGTGTGCAGAATTATGCACAGATATTTTAAATGTCAGGAGGCCTGGAGACAGATTTCAGGATTGCGGCTACTTTTACTTTTCTTCTACTTTCCCGTGTTATCTAATTGTCTCTGATAAATACGCTCTATTTGCATAACTGGATGAAATGAGAATGCCCGGAGAATCCAGATTCTCTACCCTGGACGCCCGGGAGGCAAAGAGGTTCTCTATACGCCCTCAGCGTGGCGGGGGCGGGATCCACCGCCAGACCTCAGCCACAGGCGCAGCCTCCAGGCTGGGCCCCGTCCGCCGCCCGAGCAGGCCCGAGGATGCCGCGGCCTTCGGGGAGCCCTGCGCCCGCAATGCCGCCACCCCCACCCCCGCCCCCCGCCAGGCCTCTCACCGACTCTCGCCGCCGAGCTACAATCGGTCCACCCGCCGCCACCGCAGCCACCGGTCCCGCGCCTACCTCCCGGCGGCTCGAATCGCGCACGCGCGTCACCGCCCCAGGCCCTCCGCGGCCTCTCTAGGAAACTGGGAGGCCCAACGTCTCTGCTTCTCTCCGGCTCCAGTGCAGCGGGCGGCGGGGTTTGCCCAACATCTCCCACCTCCCTCCGCTGGACTTGCCTTCCACGCTCCGTGGACTTCCCTTCCACGCTTGGATGCCCAGCCGCGCCTGTTTTCTTACATCCCTCCTGTCGTGTCTGCGGGACTGCCCTGAAGGCCTCTTTCCCTCCAGGGAAGAAAGGGATCCAAAGCTAGGAGTGAAAATAGAGACAGCAGTATCTAGCAGACTACTTCTGGCCAGGAGAAGGGGTTAAGGGAGCCACTCATTCTTCGCCTGGGTACCCTTCAAAGAGGGGACCCAGATGCTACGGGAAGCTAGGTGCCAGAACTCCTGCCTTTCCAAAACGAGCTCATCCCCATCATCACCATACCCAGGAATACCTGTTCATAACCAGCCCAGATGTGCACCATACTTTAGCTTCCCACGGCGTTCACTTGTTTTCTCCTGTGGGTGAATTCTAACTATGCTCACCTGGTGAGTGAACAATGATGCCATTGCCCAATAATATGTGGAATCTGGGAGGAGTAGGTTGGGAGGGTGGAGGGGCTGCTTGAAGAGGAGGTGAAGCAACATGGAGAGGTTGCCCACCCCCTGTAGGAGCAAATGTCATCTATTGCCAGTGCCAGAGAACCTTGAGGGTGCAGAGCCAAAGCCATAAGGCCATATGCTGCCATTGGAGGGCATGCTGCAAGCTGCTGTCCTGGTAGTCCTCTGGTCTATGCTTCCTAGTGGTAGGCTGCAACATGTTGCTAATTGATCTTTCAGATAGGCATTCATGATGCCCATCTGTGCCCTGAGGCTTTGCTTTACTCATCTGATCCACCCCTTTTTAATGCTCCAGTCACCAAAGATGGAAACAGAGAATAGATCCTGAACACCAGGGAGATGGTGGTGAGGTGATAGAGAAACAGATGACACATTCAAACAAGGTAAGTGGGGAGAGCTCACAAGGGGCGATGTACACAAAGTGGACAGGGTTAAGGAAATGCAACACGGGGTGGTGCAGAATCCCATGGCTAGCAACATTTAGAAGCTATTCTCACCCCTAGGAGCAGGCTACTTGAGAGAACCTGTGGCTTTCAGTTGAGGGCTACATCCAAGCCATAGTCCAGCACAAAGGAAGCTGGGATAATAAATAACCTGAACCCAGCTCTCTTCTGATCTCCTGCCAGGGCTTCCCATTGGCCCAACCCAACTGGAAGCCAGAGGGCAATCCAGGAAACTCAGTCTCCCAAGTGTCACTGCAGGGTTGAGGACTGAGACTGAATATGGAGGGGCGATTGGAAAATATCCAACACATGCAAAAAGTAAAATAGAAACTGCTTGTCAATGCCCAATTTGTCCATTAATTTCCACTCGATATAATGTTCTTGAGTGATTCAGAACCACCCATAGTGGTGAGAAGAGTTTTCAAGTTATGTTTCAGAACAAAATTTTCCCATCATAGAAGAGTTTGAGCAGGTTCTGTGTGTTTGGGATGTACTTACTGGATGTTTTTCAACGTGATAGGTGGTTAGCATGGATAGCACCCACATTTAGTGTGATCAAACAGATCAACCAGATTGGCTTCACTAGCACTTGCCAAGTTCGGGGAGCAGCCACTGGGACTGCAGCTCTGATTTTAAGACCTACACAGCTTCTTGAATCTCAGAGTTCTGCTAATACCTGATTTCTCCGAGTGTCACACCACTAGAGCCTATAACCATAAGGTTTCTTCACTTTTCTGGTAGGAGGCATATTCTTGCTAGCTGTACTTCCTGAGCACTATATACTCTCTTTCAGATCGGGGCAGTTTGCTTAGTAAAAGCCCTAGGTAAGATTCTCAAATTCTCATGTGCATATGAATACAAATCACTTGGGATCTGGTTAAACCGTAGATTCAAATTCAGGAGGTCTGGGGAGGGACCAACAAATACTTTTAACAAACTTCCAGGTGTACCCATGTTGCAGTTCCTGGACTGCACTTGGAGTAGCAAAGAACTGTGCATGTAAATCAGTGGTTCTTAACTTTGCTGCAGATTAGAATCCTCCTTAGAGCTTTTAAAAAGTCCATACCTCATATCAATTCAACCCAAATCTTTGTGGGTGAGACAGTGACAAGCCTAGATTTTAAAATCTCCAGATGATTCCAACATTTGAGAACCTGGGAGTAGATTATCCTTTTACCCTGATTCCTTGCTACATGTAAAAACCACATGCTAAAGGATTGTATGTTCATCTGCTTCTTTGTTTTGGAATTTAAAGTGCATCAGGATTCTGCCTTTCAAATAGAAGGGGGAAATTTCCTCCTTAATTTTTTTCTTCTTATTTTGAAATGGGGAAGAAAAAATTGGGGTGTTGAGATGGGGATCTGGAATGTGACTTGAGAAAAGAGACAAGATGTTAACACTGAGAATCAGCTGTGGGCAAACTGGCCTGGTAGGATTTTCACTCCTTTTCTGGCCTCAAATTCAGCCCCTTCTCTGTAGTTTGAGGGAGGGGGGTTGAAATATTAGGATGAAAATAAAATAGGGCAATGTATCTGAGGATGGTGATTACTGTGATCCATTGGAATAGGGTACTCTCCTAAAAGAAAAACACGGAACAAATGTTTAAACAGTTAAATTATGTGTAATTGTGGCCATTTGAAATATATTACATATTATATTACATCGTATAATTAATCTTCTCTGAATTCCCCCTTCTGTCTCTAATTTTAAGATACTGAAAAATATATTTTAATATGAGATTTTAGAAGGTGATCCAATTTTAAATGAATTTTAAAATTATCATTTATATCAAAAAAATACTGATGCATTAAGTAGTACTAATGAAGGACTTAAAATGAAAAATTGAACTCAACTCCCTCCTCCACCTTCCATCTTTTTCTGCAGAGGATATTCCTTGCATCTGAACATAAAAGTAGAGAAAGAGAGAGGATCAGGAAGCCAGGAGGGAATATACATGAGGAGTTTAAACTTTATTGGTAATAGAGGGGGCAAAAGAATCTTTGAGTCAGGCCATAGCCATGAGGAAGAAAAACTATGGAATCTTTGTTTACATGCATTGCTATACCTCAAGTACTTAGAACAACACTCACTACATAGTATGTACTCAATAAACATCTGTTGACTAATCAATCTTCTCTATATCTAACCCAGGCCCTTAGGAGGTTTCTATTGTGATAATAGCCAAATCCTCAAACAGGCCAGATTTAGCTGGTATGATAACGAAGTCCCCTCTGCTTTAACCCTTACAAGGAAAGTAATCTGAAATAACTAATGCCAACCAGTCTGCTTTTGGTTCCCTATTTTTGCTTTATTTGGCCTTTTTCTGCTCATAAAGCCAATCTACTCTGTTCAGCTTATCAGAATACCCATTCTATTTTATAGAATGAGATGTTGCCTGAATCTAGAATCACTAACAAAACCTAATTTGGTCTTTATTACTATTATTTATTTATTTTTGAGACGGAGTCTTGCTCTGAAGCCAGGCTGGAGTGCAGTGGCGCAATCTCGGCTCACTGCAACCTCCGCCTCCCAGGTTCAAGTGATTCTCCTGCCGCAGCCTCCTGAGTAACTGGGATTACAGGCGCCCACCACCACGCCCAGCTAATTTTTGTATTTTTAGTAGAGACGGGGTTTCACAATGTTGACCAGGCTGGTCTTGAATTCCTGACCTCAGGTGATCCACCCGCCTCAGCTTCCCAAAGTGCTGGGATTATAGGCGTGAGCCACCGCGCCTGGCCTAATTTGGTCTTTAAACTAAATTTGTTGCAATTTCATCTTTTGGCAACTG